TACTTATTAAATTTCATCTTGTTAATTTCAGCTCACAGTTCCAATCTGTCAAGGTTATTGTGGACTCAGACTCCACCATCCAATGTATTGACTATTCCTCATAATGTCATGTAATCCAAAAAGATCATAGCATGCCATCTATGACTTCATTCAAATCATTAATTAATCTAGGGTACTGAATTGGGCCAAGGACAGTACCTTGGGACATTCCACTGGGTATCTCTCTCTTTTTGTATGGTCAGCCACCTAATTCTGCATCCACCTAATGGTGCTATTACCCTCTGAAGTTACATCTCTACATTTTGTCCAGTAGAGATTTTGCCACATATTTTGTTGAGATCCAAATATACTAGGTCCACAGTATTTTCCTGTTCTACAGGTCTAGTAACCCTATTAAAAAGGAAATTAGATTAGTCTGGCACCCTGCACAAACCCAAACTGGCTCTTTGTGATCATTTCTTCCATCTACTAATTTTTTAGGAAGAACTGATATCAAACTTACTGGCTTCACCCCCTCTTTTCTGAAAATTGGTTAAAAATTTCCCTATGTTTGATTATTTTCTTAGTGACCTTAGGTTTAAAATTCCTGATAACCACTCTTTTTTGCTTCCCAGTCCAAATACCATATACCTTCATAAAAAACCTCCCCCCCCAAAAAAAAAGGGAAGGAAAAAGAAAAAGAAAGAAATTAGGTAATTAAGGCTAGGCAGTTTTGGCTTTTCTCTATCATTTATTATCTTCTTACTAATACCAGTTTTTGATAAACCTATTGGTCCCACTTTAAAAAAATTAATAAAGTATTTTTACATCAGAAAAAAATAATCTGATGTAAGGATACTAGAGCAGTCAAGTTGTATGGTTTCTAGAAGTTCCTGAAAGCAGAAGCATCTGCAAGTACTTATGATAACAGAGGAAAAACAGACAGGAGGGGCCAATGGGGCAGAAGAGTACGATTCTGAACTATTACTTTTGAAGTATCTAGTGGGTAACACATATAATCATTTCTTCCTTACAAAGAGAAATTGGGTACTAGAGGAAGAGATAATGTGTTGAACTATAGCTACCAAATGGTGTTACTTGTTTGCTTGTATTTAATACACTTTATTTCAGTGAATATGTGATCTCATCAATCAGCTACTTCCATCAACAGTATGAAACACATCCACATTTTCTCATCTTGTACTTCTCTCATCTATGTTCTCCCATAAATCCTCAAATAAGTATTCTTCATGCATTTGGTTTTTCCTATGTGAATAGTTAGATAAAATGCTTTTGAGTGATTATAGATCACATTTGAGAGACTCTATTTAGATGTCTTTGGCAATATCAAAATTATACATGTATACTTCATTTTTTTTCTGGCCACTTAGAATCAAACACATGATAATACACGCCTTCCCCAATTCAGCTCCTATCAGAAATGATAAATCTCACAATGTGGTAATCGATGAGTTGCATGACTGGATTGAGGAAGCAGCTCTCTGTTGCTATCAGGGCAAAACATCCTTAATTCCAAACTGACTTGTCTCTTAAAAGGGTAGCCATCCCCAAATGACTATCAGACATAGCACAGAGGATGGAATACAGATAATGTAATTTCGTCATCTACTTCTTTCAGTTTCTCCTTATTTAATGGCTCCTCTGCTGTCTCTAGACAAATCCAGGTTTAACCCATGCTTGAGAGAACAAAAAAAATCTTAATTTTACTCTACTATCTATCTCAAGCTATTGTTCTATATATCTTCTCTAGGGAAGTCTAAGGCAAAAGCTGTCTATATTTGTTGCCTCTATTCACTTGCTTTTCAATTACTTGTAATCTAGCTCTAAGGTTATATTATTATATATGTATATATATATATGTATATATATGTATATACATATATGTATATAACATAGACATACATATACATACGAATGCATAATCACACACAGAGCTTTAATAGCTTAAAACATCACTAAGACTTTTATACATGTAATTTAATCTACATATATTGCTTGATAAAAACAATAATGCTACAATCTATTTCTCAGTCCTTATCCTCCCTACTTTTCTGCAGTGTTTAACACTGTTGAGTCTTCTTTTCCTCTCTATGCTTTCAGGACACTGATCTTTTCTGTGTCCCCTCCTATCATTATGCCCAAACCTTTTCAGTCTTTTCTGCAGGATCATCACCTATATCTTGCCTCCTCCTCTTCCCCCAGTGTGTGTATACCCCTAAGGTCTGTCCTAGACTCTTTTCTCAATGTTCTTATCAGATCCCTTGGATTTTAACTCTCAGCAACCTGCAAATGATTCTCATACCTATGTATTCATCCCTGATCCCTTTCCTGAGCTCCAGTTTTGCATTTCCAAGTGCTTGCTAGATATCTCATGTAGATGACTTGTAGGCATTTCAAACTCAACATGTCCAAAACAGAACTCAATATCTTTTCTCCTAAACCCATTCTTCCTTCCAAATTTCTATTTCTGTTGAGGGGAAGCACCATTTTTTTTCCAGTCACCCAGATTCACAACCTAGTAGTTCAGCCTTGTTCCTTCACTTTTATTTACCCTTCTATATGGAATCATTTGCCAAATCTTATAAATTTTCTTCCTCCTACCTCCTACTCTTTCATCTGTCCCTCTTTCTCCTCAGATATGGTCTCCAGCTCCTCTTGCTTTGGATTATTACAGTAGTTCACTTACTTATTAGTCTCCTGGCCTCCAATCCACTCCTTCTCAAATCTATCCTCCACATAACTCTTGAAGTTCTATCTTTAAAGCACAATTTCCATTGTGAACGTCCCCTACTCAAAAATATTCAAGGCTTTTTCTTGCCTCTAGGAAAAATACAAACTTCTCCATTTGATATTTAAAGCCCTTCATAATCTAACCATAGACTTTCTTTCCAGGTTGATCATACATCATTCTTCATAAAAAAGCTATATATTTCAATCGAATTGATATATTTGTTGTCCCATGTACAGCCCATGACTTTCTATTTCTTTTCCACTGGTTACACCCTTCCCCCTTAAGTGTAAAAATCTTCTGCCTCAAATCTACTTCTTTAAACCCTAGCTCCCTTTAGGGCTTTGTTCAAGTGCCATTTATTATTGTAAGAGGATGTTCCCTACTACTCAGTTGTTAGTTTTGCTCTCTCTCCAATTTTCTTTTTCTTTTTTTTTGGTATATTTTCTTTTCTGTGTATACTCTCTCTTCTTCTCTCCTCCAGCCAAATGGAAGATTCCTGAAGTCGCCATTTTATTTATGTCTGTGTATTCTTAGCACATAGATGGTACTTAATAAATGCTTTTCTAGTTGAATTGGATCAAACCTTTAGAGTGAGCTAAGGAATAGGCCTTGGAGATACTCTCAAATGGAACATATATTCTCTGGAAGTCACACTTGAATAAAAGATCTGTGTAGTCCTGTGTAAAAGTCAGTCAATGATATTTAGTGAACCCCTACTGGGTATAGAGCAAAGGGCTAAATCATGTGGGGGGAAAAAGAAGGGAGGAGAAATTTAAGGTGACTTTTGCCTTGACTGAGTTTCCAAGTTTACAGAGAGGGCAAGATTAAAACAAATATGTCCATCTATTATGAAAATACTGAAAGCATGGACAGCTATGACAAGAATGTGAGAAAAGAGTTCAGCCTGTCTAAGTCTAACAGAAATGAACCCTTTATCAATAATTATAATTTGATAATCTGGGAACACCTGCTGTAACACCATCTGGATTTTTTGGAAGGGCAGTAGAGTTAAGAAATGAAGCCTGGAGTGTTCTATTGCTCTGCCAGAAGACTTATGTATGTATTTTCCAAATTCCTGGTAAAACTTTTAGTTTTTCTCTACTGAATACAAAAGTATTAAGAGAAATCACCAGATTGGCACCACATTTGGTCAAGAAGTTGAAACATCTTCCATATTGCCTTTCAGCCTGTGGCACACCTCTGAGGGATGGGTTACAAATCTTTGTTCATTCTGACATTTTAATTTTCACTTCTCCCAAGGAGACCTGCCATATTTTCCACAGTGTGCAACAAATAGCATTTAATTTATGCATTTAAGTAAGCAGAACTGACAAAACAATAAAAGCTGCATAAGGTTTACGTGGGCAAATTGCCACTTCTTGAACTTTGAAATTTGCGTGCACAGTAAGTTTGGAGCTTGCTAATTAACTCCATGCACATGCCCAGAAATAGGCTCACAAATATTGTTTCTTGTCACATAGAATGTTTTAAGATACACCAAAAAAAAAAATCCTGTACCTTCAAATGACATACCTAGGCCAAGAATACTGTCTACAATAATATTTTTAGTTCCGCAGTCTGTTTTTAACAATAAAAACCCTTCCCAGCACCCTCAATCCCCAAAGAATGACAACAACAATGACAATAAACTTGGCAGGACTATATTAAGGACAGGTATACTTAGGGTCAGTCTTCTGCAAAGGTACTACGCCCTGGTCAGATCTCTGCTCATTGTATTCTGTGCTGGAAGCCAAGTTTTAGGAAGGATATTGATAAACTGTAATACTTCAAGAGGAAAACAATGAGAATAACAATGGTTCTTTAAACCATGCTAGATTGTTATGGATTGGCATAAGCAATGGGATGTTTAGCTTTAGGAGAGAAGACCTGAGTAGGAGGTGAAGGCGGCATGGTGAGAATAATAATAATAATAATAATGATAGCCGTCTTCAAACGTGAGCAGTTTTAGGTAGATAACAAGCATTTATTAAGCTCTTATTATGTGCCAGGTATTATATTTGGTCCTGAGTATACGCATATGCAAAATGGAAGACAACACCTACATCAAGGAGCTTATATGCCAATGTACACTTACTAGCTATGTCATCCTGGGAAAGTAACTTTACCTCTGTTTGCCTGAGTTTCCTTATCTTTAAAATGGGGAAAATAATAGCACCTACCTCCTAGAGTTATTATGAGAATCAAATGAGAATATTTGTAAAATGCCTAATTATTATTATTATTAATATTAATATTAATATTATAACAGGGACCTGAAAAGCAGAGAGGGGAGACAGTTGGAGAAGAAGGAAAGAAGGTACCCTCTGTGAGGGCGTGAAGGTGAAGTCTAAAGATTTAGAAACACAAGCCTGGGGCTCTTCCCAAAATGGCCAGCCCCAGAGGAAACTCACCCATGGGACAGAAGAGTCACATGATTTCATATAAAAAAAAGGAAATAAACTTAATTCTGCTTTCCTCCAGAGGTGCCAAGTGGAAGAACTGGGAGTAGCTTGTTCAAATTGCAGGTAGGTAGGTTTAAGCTCAATATGACTTTTCTATTCACTCTCTAACAATCAGAGATGTCCAGAGGTTGAATGGGTAGCTTTGAGAGGTAGTGAGTTCTCCTTCAATGGAATTTTTCCAGTGGAGATTGGACAATCACTAGTCTAAGATGTTGTAGAAAGCTTTTCTACATGTAATATGACTTTAGAAGTCCCTTTTAACTCCAAAATTCCTAGTATTTGGGTATTCTCCTGTGACTATATATCTATATCTAATATAGATTATTATATTTATCTATGTAGATATAGATATGGAAATATATAATCTATTCTATCTATCTATCTATCTATCTATCTATCTATCTATCTATCTATCTATCTGTCTGTCTATCTATGGGGCAGCCAGGTGGTGCAGTGGAGAAAGCACCAGGCCTGGAATCAGAAAAACCTGAGTTCAAGTTCGGCTTCAGACACTTATTAGCTTTGTGACCCTGGACAAGTCACTTTACCCTGTTTGCATCAGTTCCTCATCTGTCAAATGATCTGAAGAAGGAAATAGCAAACCACTCCAATACTGTTGCCAAGAAAACCCCAAATGGGATCGTGAAGAATCAGACATGCCTGAAATGACTCAACAATAAATATATATGTATGTGCATAGGTGTTTACACACACATACAGACACATATACATACATATAGATATATACAAGATATACATATACATACATACACATTGATAAATACAAGATTTTATATATATATACATATATATGTGTATATATATATATATATATAGAGAGAGAGAGAGAGAGAGAGAGAGAGAGAGAGCGCAAGTCTTTACATTATTTTAGGTAGTAAAGTTTTAAGTAGTTGTTTAGAGAATATTGCATTATCAAATGACCATTTTTCAGCCTCAGAAGAGATTACTTGCAGATATCTTCTCCTCAAAGGCACTTTATACCCTTTTACTGTTGAATTTGAATTTCTCATAATGGCAATGAATAAAGTGCCTGCCTTTGTTAAGGGCAGGGAGACCTGATGGGGTCAGATGTATTGACCAAGTATTCTACCCTCTATTCTCCTCTGCTCTGTCCCTCATCCTCATTTCCACTGGAGGTGAGAGTTTGAGGCTTCCAAGCCTGCTTGGGGAAGGGTCTCTGAGTAGAACTCAAATCTTAAATCCCCATTAAATGACCACCACTTATTTTAGAGACCTTGACACTTTATGCCAGTTAGTTTACTCGTTTTCCAGTGCAAAGAAATGGAAATGAATAAATCTTATGGTAAATGCAGTCAGATAATGTTTAGTGATTGATGGCAGTTCCTAGTGGTATTGAGTGTATGTTCAAGGTAACCTAATTGCATGGATAACCTGCACCTCACTACTGAGATGGATAGACAGTGCTTTGGTTTATCGTAGAAAGCCACCATCATTTGTTTGGAGGCTCAGTGCCTCTGCATGCTTGGGTAAGAATTCAATAGCATATTTATTTTATTTATGTACTCAGGTGTTAAATTTATATAGCACTTCCCCTCTGAAGAGCTTAGGTCACTGTAAAAAAAATAAATAACTTGCAATGTTTGATGTTATAAACTTGGGAACAGTCCATAGGAAAGGAAAAACAAAAAAATGAAGATGAAAGGAAGGAGTAGAGGAGAAGAAAGGGAAGACAATGACAAAAGTTGAGGCAACCAAACAATGATCCTTCCAAGTTCCTGAAAGTTACTATGGTTTCTATGTTATCAGGGGCTACTTGGTCGGCAGAATAAAAAAGTCCCCAGATTTCCTCAGTTTGACCTCTGTGCTACCTCTGATGGTTCTGAAAGTATCCATTTTTGAATTAAGTTCATGTTCTACTAATAATCCATGATGACCATTAAGGTTCACACAGGGGTCTTTTTTCAACAGGGAAACCAGAGCATGACATTAAGGAGAACATTGAAATAACATCTTAATTAATGATCACCAATGCAAACTGTTGGTCTAGTGGTCACACAGCACTGCTGGAGACAGAAAGAAATATCACTGAAGTGGTGATAGAAAATTAAAGTTTAAGAAGCATCCTATTGGGAGAGACTTATCTGCGTGTATAACACCTGTCCACATAAGTTACTGTTTGGCTGTCTTGATTGTTTGTCAGTGAGTACCCTCTATTCCCCTCTGCTCTTTCCCTTCTTCCTCATTTGCTTTCTCTTTTCTTTTCTTTTTTTTTTTGCTTCCCTGTGGACTCAGTTTATAAATTAATAACACTGCAAATTAACATTTATTTTACACATGCACATGATTGTTAGGTCTAGAAGTTTATTATCATTGTTATGACTTTGAGGTTTGGAAAGCCAGGGCTTACCCCATAGACCAGACTTATTGTTTCTGCTAGGCCACCAAAAGGACGATGGCTAGTATAAAACGATAATAATACTTTGTTTTCATATAGATTCCAAAGGTGATACACTTTGAGAATATGCTTTGTTCTATTACTAAGCTCCGAAGAAATAGCTCAGACCTCTCCCAACTTCTGTTACTCCAAGAGCTCTACAAGGAATTTGTTAGCAAGAATGATTATCCATTTGATAGGGGGAATTGGAGAATTAAGTGAAAGGTAAGTTACTGAGAGTCAAGAGGTTCTCATTTAATCCATTGAAGGTATAGGAACTAGAATCTGAGCAGAATAATTGAAGACCTGGTGTATGGGCTGAAAAGCTGCCCTGACAGAGCTGTGGTAATTAGAAGCAGTCAGTTGACAGAAGGTTTTGACTAAATTAATCTTGATTGATAGAAGAGAAAATTGACTTCATTGGCCAAGGTCTTCAGTAACAACTACTTCTCCTTATTGTCACCTAGAGTTGAGGAAGGCCAAAGCTTCTCATAAGAGCTCTCTGCTGCCACACCTGGCTTGAGAAGGAAAAGCTAAGAGGTGGAGGGGGAAGGGATTATATTGATGTGTTGGCTAGTTTTATTTACCCCAGCTTAAAAAAAAGTCAACCTGATTCATATGTATAACAGTATCTTATTTCTTGCCTTCTCAATAAGAGGTGAGGGGATGGAGGGAGGGAGGGAATTTGGAATTGAAAAATAATAACACTGTATTAAACAAACAAACAAAAAACATAGTCCTACCTGAGCTGTACTGCTGTCAGATCTATGCTAATTGTAAAATGCAGCATTTGGTTGAGTGAATAACTGGCTGGGCTGTATACTCCACAACTGGCCAGGCTGATGAGCTTTGTGGTTCTCTAGGTTAAAGAGCACTGCTATTCCTATGAAGAAGTAATACTTCTAAAGCTAATTGTAAATTAAAAGTTTCTAAATGCTGTGTTTCAGTAGGGAAGATAAGTTTTGCCTAGCTGAAGAGCAGTGAGGATGTACAGACAAGCATTAAGCAGAGAAATAGTTTCATGTAGGGCAGATGTTTCTGAATGGGTTAATGACATAGAACCATAAAGTCCAGAAGAGGGAATTATCCCAAGCACACGGGTTTTTCTCCCTCCTTTGCCTCCCCGACAGGTTCTTGTAAACATGTACTCACTCTTTGCTAAAGATATAAAGTGCATTGGTAGGAGATTGTCATTTATGTTTATATGTAGATTTTGTGCTTATACATTTGCTTTTACATATGAATGTCTACATTATTATTGTTATTTTTCTTTATTGTTAATTAATGGTTATGTTTTAAGATTTTAAAGCATCATTATTGTGACTGACTGGTTGTAGGAAATATATTGATGGGGGCTCAAGATCTAGAGTAGTCGATAAGAAAAGTGTCTGTTCCCTTAAAAGGGAGAATTTGAATGCAACCTTTTGGTATTGGTCTACAACTTGGAACCTAGTCCTGACAGTGTGAGGCTAGGTTGGAGTGAGACCATCAACCTAGAGACTCAGTAGGTCTTCTCACCTGGGTGAGAAGTCTGAGACTCCTTACATATTGTGGCTTGTCTATATGACTGCAGCTGATGGTGTCATCTCTGTTACACAGTTACACATTCTTCCAGCCTTTCATTCTATAAATTTCCCTTTACATCAAGTCCTTTTGTTTCTTCCTTTGAAATGACTTGCAGATTCACTTCTAGTCAAGGCCTTAATTGACTCACTTGGATTATGAAACACTGTGACAATAAAAATAGCACTGAATTTGGAGTTAGAGGATCTGAGACTGAATAGCAGCTCTGCTAATTAATACCTGTGTGACCCTGAGCAAGTCACTAAACTTCCCTGGGCATCATTTCCTCATTTGCAAAATTAGGGGTTTGGACTGGATCAAGAGTTGGCAAACTGTAGCCCTGGGAACAGATCTAGATTGCTGCCTCTTTTTGTACAAATGGGAGCTAAAAATAATTTTTACGTTTTAAAATATAATAACACTTTGTTTTAAAATGTTTTTAAAAACCCATTGTTAGTTCACTGGGCTATAGGCAGCTGATTTTGGCTCTTGGGTCATAGTTGCCAACCCTTGGATTAGATGGCTTCTAAGGTTCCTTCCAGATATAAATCTATGATTCTGAAATCCTTCTTTATTAGCCTCTATCCTAGTGGACATTCCTGTCCAGTCTCTTCTCTCCATAAGTTACTGTCATACTTGTCTTCCTAAAACAGGTCTCTGATCATCTCCAGAAATCCTCCCTGATAAATGACTCATTTCAGTAAACAGAGTCTTTCATTATGTGCCCCCATCCTATATATTCTAGTTTATCTCCAGAATATACCTAGCAAAAGTCCTATATTGTAATCAGACTAATAAATGCTGCTCATTCCTTCCTTTTCCTCTAGTCATGCCATTTAACTCACCTAGAATGGAAAAATCCTTAGAAAGAGGAAACACACAGGCACACAGACACACACACAGACAGAGAATTTAAAATCAGAGGACTCAAATTGGAATCTGGATCTGCTAATTATTTTACTGCATTACTGTAGCCAAGTTAATTCTTCTCTCTGGGCCTTACTTTTCCTATCTGTAAAATAAGATGGTTGAGATTACATTACTTCAGAGTTCTCTACTAGCTTTCTTATGATGCTAATTTTATCCTGCTTATGCCTTTCCTCATGCCACCTGAATCACAAGTGCCCTCTCTCAAACTACTTTCTATCTAACATTTTTAGATATGTGTATTTCTTCAATTTATATTTATGTTGAATATATTTTATGTATGTACTTGTCTCTGCCATTAGAATGTAAGTTCCTTGAGGGAAATGATTATTCTCGTTCTTTGTACTTGTATCCCCAGTACTTAACAGAGTGACTGGAAAATAGTAGGTATTTAATAAATGCTCATTGATTAATTGATGAGTAGGAAGTCAGAAATAGCTAGACAAAATTGGATTCACTTGGGATTCCAGGTACTCAGATAAGGCTTGAGTGATTTGGCAAATATCAGAGGCCAGATGAGGGTCCAGATTTCAGAAGGTTTTGGTATGCTGAGGCAATTGTACTGTCCCTGACCCTAGGGGCTGGGAATGTTTGGCCTCTAGTCTCTTTTATTCTTCTTGCTGGCTATGAGTGGCCATAGGCCTGAAAAATCCTGGAAGGTCAGACAAAAATTCATCCCGAGGAAGTCAGAGGTCCAAGACTGCTGACTTTGACTAAGGTAAAATTAGAAAGACTAAAGTGATAGCAAGACCCATATAAAGTCCTATAACCAGCTCAATTTTCACCTTGTCTTTTCTGAATTTCCTAACCCCCATTCACTTGCTTTTCCTGAATTTCCATTTCATGTAATCAAAACCACCTAGTTTATGACTTTATTGTTCAGTAATTGTCCCATGTATCTTGTCTTTTCATTTGCTTGAGGGCAGAGAACATGCTATGTCTATTTTGCTTCTCTCTCCCATCCAGCCCAGCATCTAAGACAGAAGGAGACATATGCAAGATGATTAACAAATGCACATTTTATGTAATGGTTTACTTACAGCAAGAAATACTGGTCTAGTCTTCCATGCAAGTGATTTCTATGTTTTTAAATTTTTCTCTCTGATCTGCTTTCTCCCAGGTGTCTGATCAGAGCTTGAAGACTTAACCGATTGATTTGTTTTGGTGGCCTCACAGTTGTTGTGCCTTTCCTCAATCTATTTTACAGAACCTTAGTGTTGGAATAGTCCCTGGAGCCCATTTAGACCAATTCATCTCTGAACAATAATCCACTCTATAACCTACTAACCAAGAGGTCATCTAGCCTTTGCTTGCTGACCTCCACTGAAATAAAACTTCTTGCCTCCTGAGGCAGCACATTTTACTTTTTGATAGGTCTTATTACTAGGAATTTCTTCTTTACTTTGAATCTAAAACTAGGCAGCTAGGCAGGCCAATGCATAGAACCCTGGACTCTGGAGTCAGGGAAACCTGATGTCCGATGTGACTTCAGACAATTACCAGCTGCACAACCCTGGTCAAGTCACTTAATCACTGCCTACCTCAGCTTGTTATTTGCTATTCAGTCGTTTTCAGTTGTGTTTGACTCTCTATGACCCCTTTTGGAGTTTTCTTGGCAAAAAGTGGTTTGCTATTTCCTTCTCTAGCTCATTTTACAGATGAGGAAACTGAGGTAAATGGAGTTAAATGACTTGCCTAGTATCATACAGCTAGTAAGTGAGGCCAGATTTGAACTCAGGAAGATGTCTTCCTAACTCCAGGCCTGGTCTTCTATCCACTGCACCAACTACCTGTCCATCATCTGTAAAATGGGGATAATAGCACCTACTACCTAGGGTTGTTATGAGAGAAAAATGAGATGACATTTGTAAACATGAAGTACTATATAAATGCTATACAATGATTTTAATAATATCTACACTTCTGAAATTTCCCTCTGCAACTCTATAACTCTATTGCTTTTTATGCTATGTGGAGCTAAGGAGAGTAAATCTGATCTCCCTTCCATGTTACAACCCTTCAAGTAATTGAAGACTTCTATTATGTGTCCCTGCCACAGGGGATAGATTAGTGGGCTCAGAATGAAGAAGACCTGGGTGAGAATTATGCCTCTGACA